CAACTCTATAACCAGGTGGCCAAACATACAGTTTTCGAAAAAACCGTGTAGCGATTCTCCACATTTGGAATGTTTGTTTGCTTAACGGTATATCAACTCCTTATCGGTCATTTTTTTTTAAGCGTTTCACCCCAAGCAAGGCGAGAAGCCACTAGGACGCAAGGGGTTACAGAAGATTTGGAGCAAGATCAGATAGGAGTGATAGAGGAAAAGATGAGGAGAAGGATAGTGGAACTTGGGAGTATTACTAATTTCCTTTACGAAAATGTATTGCTGGCATTTTTTTCTTTTACAAAAAAAGTATTGCTGGTAATATGTTTTAATAAAAATGAATTCCTGATGAGTTTCCTTACAAAAATGTATACAAAATATATTTTTATTTATATATATATATATATGTTATATATATTTATATATAAAATACACTGTTGTCACTTCGACTACAAGAATGTATATTTATACTTTCGTAGTTATTTGTGGTTGAACTATTTGTCCATAGCTGGGACTCAAACACGTGCTACCATCCTCGATCATGGTGGGCCTGGGAACAATAGCAATTAAGATTTGGTTCCATGTTCTTCAAAACTCAAATTATCGTTATATCAGATTATAAATTGCCGGAAATATTTTATCGTCATACCCAGGACAGTTGTTTGGAATAAGGAACGTATTTTGGTGGCTATCTTCAAATGAACCAGACAGTTAATGACAACTATCCCTCTAACTAGCAGTGACGATCAAGAAAGGCGTTTATTGTAAAAAAGTGAAACAATATTCGAGTATTTTTTTCTTTCTGTCTCTTTTTTTAATCTTTTATTTCATATTGCCTTTCATTTCTTCTTTTTCCTCTTTCTCATCCAAAGTTTCGAGCTTCCTTTTAAAATTGTATTCCACCATTCACTATCAGTTTTTTCATCTACCTTCGTTTTTGTTAATTTTTTTTCCCACCATAAAAATTGATTTTTTCCTTTTTTTTACCTTTTTATCATTATTTCTTGCAATTGGTGTTCTAAATGTTTTAATATACAAAATAACTTCAACCAATGTTTTTTCTATTCTCTGGATTTCTCTCTCTCTTTAATCTATATCTATATATATATATATATATATATATATATATATATTTTTACGCCCAATTTTTTTCGTTTGGACTACGATAGCCGGGACGCAACGAGAAAAAAAAAAAATAAGTAAGAGATCCCAAGGTTCGATATAAAAATAAAGAAAAAAAGAACGTTGGGATATAAAATTCTCAATTCCGGACTGATTAGTAAAAGAGAGAAAATGAACAATTCGCAGACACAGAACAACAGAAGACATATATAACGAGAATATATAATACAAAGATTTTATTTCTAGAATATTTTAGTGTGAATATAAGAAAAGAAAAGAAAACTAAATAATACAAGGGATGGGGAGATAAGTTACCAATTATTAAACAGATACTAATATATATATTATATGAATATATAAATATATATTTTAAGATAGGGAAAACATGCAGAAATTTACATAAGTTTGGAATCGACGTCGATTGACAATTATCGGGGTACAATTTGTTCAAAGGATATTTATACACTTCTTTCAAAATAACGGATGGGATTGACAATGTTGATCTACAATCTCGCGTTTAAAAAAAAATTTTTGGTGGCATCTAATTCTTCTTCTAAATTTAAATAGTTTATTTTTTTTTTGTGATGTCCGACTCCTCTGATAGCCAGCAACTGTATGTTGTTGTTACTTTATTGTTATGTCGAAACGAAAACTGCTATATTTTGAGTCACGTGTTAAAAATTAAAAAAAAAAGGTATGCGTCATTCACGGACCCTGTTAATATCATCCACAGTTATCTGTCAAGCAGCGTTTTGTTTTGAAATATTATGGAACTGGTTAACATCATTACAATTATCTGTCAAACAATTTAACCAGGTAGGAGAAATAGAAGGGAATTTTTTTTTCGAGAACTGGCCCTGACTCATCTGTTTTATAAAAACAATATATATCTCACAATCTGCATATTTAAGAAATAAAAAAATTAAGATTCATATGTTTTAACAAAAAATACAAAAGGTACTGAAAAACTTATAAAATCTGAGGTAGGGTACAAATATGGGGTATATATAATATATATATATATATATATATATATATATATATATATATATCTTTATATATATATATATTTATATATATATATATATATATATATCAGGTCATCCCATAAGTTCTGTCCGAATTTTGAATAAAGAAAACAAGTGACCAAATGTTACATTTAATTACAGATTCAATCAACAATGTATTTTCCCTGATTATCTATGACTTCCTTCCATCTATTAACAAGCTTACTAATTCCATTACTGTAAAATTCTTTTGGCTTTGATTCGAAGAACTCACAAATGTCAGTTTTAACCTCTTCCTGTGTTACAAAAGCTGTTTCTTCCAAATGATTCTGTAAGCTACGAAACAAATGATAGTCTGAAGGAGCAAGATCGGGAGAATAAGATGGATGAGGAATTTTCTCCCAACCAAGATCTTCGATCTTTTGTGACGTGATTCTTGCTGTGTGGGGTCGCGCATTGTCCTGATGAAACATCACCTCTTTTCGATTCACTAGAGCAGGTCTTTTTTTTCCTCAAAGCTTGGTTCAAACGCTCTAATTGCTGACAGTACATTTGAGCATTAATTGTTGCATTAGGTGGTAAGAATTCAAAGTGGATTATTCCTTGGCGATCCCACCAGATTGAAAGAAGAACCTTTTGCCCATGAAGTTCCTTTCTCGGCTGTGGCTGGGGTCCTTCCCTTTACCAAGCCACTGTCTACGACGCTTAACATTTCGATAAAAGATCCATTTTTCGTCGCCAGTCACAAGTCTATCAAAAAAAAGGTGAAACAAGTTGGCGAGAATGGAGAGAAGAGCAGATGTCAACTCAGGATTTGAGGTTGTTTTCAGACAATTCATGAGGCACCCATTTTCCAAGTTTAGGAACTTTTCCAAGTTGTTGAAGATGACGATGAACAGTTGTATGGTTTGAACTGAGAACCACTGCCAATTCCTCAACTGATAAAGCAGGATTTTCTTCAAGGGCTGCTTCAAGAAGCTTTTCATCAAACTCAACTGGACGTCGGTTCGATCTTCATCTTCAAGGGTGAAATCTCCACCTCTGAATTTTGCAAACCATCTTCTGCAAGTTCTTTCATTCACACATTCCTCTCCATAAACTGAGTGAATGTTTCTAGCCGCTTCGGCTGCTGAGTTTCCTTTCTTGAACTCATAAAGCATTATGTGCTTCAAATGATTCTTGGGTACTTCTATGTTAGGAGGGTTTTAATCAAACAAAATTTAATTTTATTGTTCTCTGAAAAAAAATTTGATCAGTTTAAATGCATCTGAACATAAAAATAATGTTCAGCTCCATTAGACATTATAAAATACTCTTTAAATTTCGTTCATTTTAACAAAAAAGTTAAAATTCGGACAGAACTTATGGGATGACCTGATATATAATAGTGATCGTCCTATATTTGAATAATGTGAAGAGGATTTTTTAATTGTCACTTTCCCGACGTTTCTTTTGGATTTTTTCCGCCATTTTGTTCATCTTTCTTTCCTTTTTCCCCCTTCGTCTCTCTATTTCTTACAATTCGTGTTCTTCGCCACTTTCTAAGTAACTTCTTCTCATTTTATCATTTTATCTCTCTCCTGTTGGTCTCTCTTTTCTTGATATCCTTCTAAGTAGCTTCTTTTTTTATTTTTATCATGTGTTTTTTGTTACTTCCCCCTTGTTTCTTTTGGATTTTTTCCACCATTTTTGTTCATCTTTCTTTCTTTTTTATCTCTTCGTCTCACTATTTCTTACAATTCGTGTTCTTCGCCACTTTCTAACTTCTCATTTTATCTCTCTTTGGCTGGTCTCTTTTGTCTTTGTCTCTCTCTAAGTCAGCTTATTTTTTTCTCTTTATAATGTATTTTTCTTTTTAAATTGTTTCTTGCACCTCTTACCCACTTCTCTCTTCTTCCACTCTCTTTTCCTCTTTTTCCTTTGTTTCTTCGTCATTTTCATCTTTGTCTCACTCTCGCGATATTAACTCTTTACTTAAATCTTTCTTCGATTTTTCTTATTTTCACAAACCTTCATCCCTTTCTGTATTTCGGCAGTTTCTACTTCATTCTACTTCATCGACTCTCTCTCTAATATTTTCGGATTCTCTCGATCCCTCCCCGGCATCTTGTCATCTCCTCCCTGTATTTCATATATTATATATTTTTTATCTTGGGATATATGGTTGATTTGAACTGAGAGATAAATAAAAGTTTTAAGGGGGTACTCGATGTTTTTCTGGCCCTGAATTGAGAAAAGAATTAATTGGACTTTTTTTCGAAATATATCCCCACGTTAAAAATAATAAATGCCTTATATAACCAAAGACGGAATATTTATATGATATATATATATACCTTCACATTAACGAGACACCAATTACCGGATATTAAATCAGGCAAAAGGGAAATTCCTTCTGAAGCGGAATTGTTATTCGAAAGAACGTTCTTTTTAGAAAGAAGAAAAAACTACATTGGTGGGGGATGAAAACAAAACAAGTCAAAAATAAGCCGAAAAAACAAACGACTTGATTTTTACAAACACATGCAAAAATTAGAGCATACACACATACACACAAATCAAATATATATATATATATATATATATATATATATATATATATATGTGTATATATATATATGTATATGTGTATGTAGCAATGTGTTTTGAAAAAATGTATGTGTATATATTGTGTTTAAATAGATACCTGTTCATACAAACAACATAAAAAATATAAATACATGTTTCTATATGCTATAGATAGACACTATAGATAGATAGATAGATAGATAGACAGAGACAGATATGAACATAGATAGATAGATAGATAGATAGATAGATAGATAGATAGAATGATACGAATAAAAAATGTCCAGAAACAGAGATGAAAATAGATATATT